ATAGTGAGTGTGTGCACACGCGCAAGAGCCGTGGCCTAAACAACCAGTACCTCCCCTAGCTAACCCCCGGATACTGATGAGAGTGGCTGCCCCCACCAGGACAAATTGCTGCCGCAACCATTTGGAAGTTCACTGCTGGGCAAAAAAAAAGTGTCTCTTGGAGAAAAGAGGTTCAGAGGTACTGGTGATTTAATAAGCTTGGCTTGCTTTAGACTCAGAAGTGCCAGGCCTTAGTGGTTAAGAGACTTGGCTCTTGAGGCCGAAGTCGCCGGTTCGAATCTGTGCTTGCACGGAGGACTTAGGCCCAGATGTACGGAATCCATACTACTGTGGAAGCGCCCGTGAACCGACGGGCATTGATAAGTCCCGTCTGTGTGAGCGGGTAAGAGTACCAGCGGGGGTTACGTGCTGACTACAGAGCGAGGTGTACGAGAACTGCCGTGTCCGTGGGTGTTGTGTGTGGTGTGCGTTGAGTTGGACACTACAGCCTTGCAGGGGTGGGGTGGATATCACAACCGGTACGATTCCACTTTTGAACACCGTGTCCTGGCTGTAGTGGTTAAGAGACTTGGCTCTTGAGGCCGAAGTCGCCGGTTCGAATCTGTGCTTGCACGGAGGAGGACTTAGGCCCAGATGTACGGAATCCATACTACTATGTGGTGACTACCGTCTTCACCCAAATAGAACGCCCGGTCATTATGGCTGCATCTGGACCAAAAGTTGTGCCAAATACAGCTATAATGACTGGGCGTTCTATTCTGGTCAAGACGGTAGTTCTTGTCTCCAAGCAGCCCATGGCCATGCACAGAATCGAACGGGTGATCTCGGTCATAAGAATTGGATGTCCATAATTGTCCAATAATAAAAGGATATCTTTACTGCTGCAAATTTTTTTTTTTTTTTTTTTTTTTTTTTTTTTTTTTTTTTTTTTTTCACCACTGCTGTCATCTCATGGTGTCCATTTTTTTAGAAGTTTTAGTTGTTACCCAAAAAAGTCCAGGTTGTTGTAGAGGCCAGATTCCGACCCATGGTGGTTGCCATCGTAGGAGCGCCGGAAGCGGAAAGCTTTCCCAGGAGGTGCCACCCTTCCTGGTACTATTCAGGCCATGCTGAAGCGGACAGCCACCTGGGGGAGGTTGGACCTGGTAGTGGTATTTCATGATGCCTATCCCTAGCCCGACCCGAAGACTTTAAGACTCCCACTTGTTCACACTCAGCCACGCCGGAACCAGAAAGCTTCCCAGGAGGCCACCCTTCCTGGTACTACTCAGGCCGCGCTGAAGCGGACGGCTACCGGGGGAGGTTGGACCTGGTAGTGGTATTTCACTATGCCTATCCCTAGCCTGACCCGAAGACTTCAAGACTCCCACTTGTTCACACTCAGCCACGTCGACACTGGTAAAGCCTCCCAGGGGGTTGCCTCCTAGTACTATTCCGACTCAATCAGCCAGTGGTTGTCCTGACAATTGTCTGCGGAACTACCGCCCTACCCAACCTCACGACATTTCTCCTAGTGTACCCCCCCATTCCCACTATCCGACTTCAGTGTCAATCACTCAGGACTATCACCCCTCCCCTAGAGGATGACGTGGACCGAACAGTGGTTACAGGCAGCAGGGCTAGGTGGTTTGTGCCCAGCCCCGCTGGAAGCATGGTTGAGCAAGCCTTGTCACATGGGTACTTCAGACACCTAGCAACATCTCTATCAGTCCCACCTACTATCCTAATAATCCTTACTGGAACAAGGGGACCTGCCGCGGCTGTGCCCGCGGCGGAGTCGGGAGCCCGAGGGAAAGGAGAAGTGGAAGTCGAGAACTCACAGTGAGAAAGAAAGAAGTATGCATCGTACACACACACACACACACACACACACACACACACACACACACACACACACACACACACACACACACACATAGTCTCTCTTTCTCTCTCTCTCTCTCTCTCTGTCTGTCTCTCTCTCTCTATATATATATATATATATATATCTCTGTTTAATCTTTCTC